GTTAACTGGTGACTCTAAATTGTCCGTAGGTGTGAATGTGAGTGTGAATGTTGTCTGTCTCTATGTGTCAGCCCTGTGATAGTCTGGTGACCTGTCCAGGGCGTTACCCCACCCCTCGCCCAATGTCAGCTGGGATAGGCTCCAGCCCCCCCACAGCCCCCAACAGGATAAGCGGTTACGGAGCATGAATGAATATTGTTATGTACATAATACAGCACATCTGAAATCAATTGTTTCTTTCCTTTTTTGCTTTGTCCCCCTCTCCACCTCTCTACACATTTTGAGTGTCATTCGTTTACCAAAAAAAGAGACAACATAAACAAAACACAAAGTTTAAGATGAATTTTAGTGAAAGCATTATTATTTTCAAAATTTCTATTGAGATTGCATTAAACTCGTTATAGTGATTCTTCATGCCGCGATAATCATGTAGTGAAAATCTCATGCCGTGCCCTAGTTTCAACATGTCTCGTTACATCTTTAGTCTTAACTAGGCTTTGGTGTCAAGGCCTGACCTGTTAAGCAACAAATGACTGCATCTTTTTACTGTTACTATGTTACTGTGTCTGACCTGTTTGTCTGTTTTGTGTAGATGAAGCCAAATCATCACTTAAACTGTGAACCAAATTTACCTTCGGGTACAAATAAAGTTACCTTACCTTACCTTTTTTCTTTCTCATGAAACGTGTTTCGTGGTGTGTGTTGCCGTTACAGAGCTGGCCAGGGAGCTGGATTTCTCTGTGGAAGAGATCAACTTCATCAGAGTGGAGAACCCCAATTCCCTGACAGCACAGAGCTTCATGCTCCTAAAGAAATGGGTGCACAGGGACGGTAAAAATGCCACAAGTAAGCTGTGTTTGTCTTTGTGCGTGTGTGTGTGTGCGCGCATATACTGTCATGTATATGTGAGGGAGATAAATGAATACGGCTGCTGTAGGTCATACTCAGGTCTTATTCTCCCTGCTGACACTCTGGTATATGAGAATACATATTTCAGTCGCTACCTTATGAAAACAGTAAATCAGCGTGACTGACAGAAGCTTTGTGGTGTTACAACATGACTGCAAATTAATTTCTCTGTGTCTCTCCTCTCCAGCGGATGCTTTAACTGCGGTGCTGACTAAGATCAATCGGTTGGATATTGTGACTTTGCTGGAAGGGCCCATATTTGACTACGGTAACATTTCAGGCACACGCTGCTTTGCCGATGATAACGCAGTATTCCCGGATCAGTCCGATGGTAAAGTGTAGCCCACCCTAGCTGAACTCTCAGTCTATCTCTCAGTCTGTCCCTTCACCCTTCTTCACCTCCTCTCTCAGCCAGATAGTCAGACTTACTGTGTAAACAAAGAACCAATCAGGCTTGACCAAACAATCGAAGTTAATTAGAATCGAACCAAAATGACTTGACGCTCCAGCAGGTTCATTGAGCTCATATCAGTTAATGAACCATCAGGTAGTGAGACCATTAGAGTCGTCCTTATTGAGCAGTCACCCCAGTCAGCTTGTTAGTTTTCCAACACTGGGCAGTGCAATTAATTTATAGCACTCAGTCATTGGAATGTTAATGGCAAGTGATAGATTTATGGGTGATTATTGATAATATATTTTTCTATAACAAATCTGTACCATTTTGGGTGCATGAGACTTTTTAGTATGTGTGACTGTTTTTGTAAACTGTTGAGAAGCATGATCCTGAAGCTGCTAATGAACTGGTGTCTCCGTCCCATCTGATAAATGTATTCATATAATCCTGTTGATAGTGAATGAAGCACATTTGTCAGATGGGTCAGGGCACCGCTTCATGTTTTGGTTCAACAATAGTTATGTTTATGTGTATGTTACTATCTAAGTATGGTTACAACACATTTCCCTTTGTCTATTTTTGCCGTATGCTGTTAGAAAATACATAAAAACATAATTATAACAACCAGTTTATAATGATGGCATGCTGGCTTTAAGCAGCATGGCGAGCCTTTCTCTCTCTCTAACTTTCTCTCTCTCCTCTGAAATGAAATTTAAATGTGGCAGCTCACAGTATTCTTTGATCGTGATGGACACAATGAGGGACATTTCAGAACTATGATTGATAGGTGATTAGAAAACAACAACAGTGTCACATGATCCTTCATATGTATAAACACCTTTGTTATACCAGAAGTGAAATCTTTAATGAGAGGGGCGAAGATGGCAAGAAGGGGTAGACCAGGGGTTGGCAACTTGTGGCTCTGGAGTCATATGTGGCTTTTTGGCCCCTCTCCAGTGGCTTTGACCAGAAAGAAAATATGGAAATGACTAATGCTTTTTTTTTTTAACATTATAATTTTCATTTATCAATGTTGTAAGCCTAAAGACACTCTTGCAGTCTCCAATTTTAAAATGTGATGCCTTTATACACGTTTCGTTTTCACACAAATAAAATGTGCATAATAAATCTACTGCCTGGCACCTTTTCCTCCAAATTTGCCAACCCTAAATAGCAGTGGGTAGTCTTGAGTCTCCCTAGCTGGTTAGCTATTGAAGCCAAATCCAGAAAAGTTAATGTCTTCGAAATAATATAGAGAATTGAGCAGTGCATGGACAGATTTGTTTGCTTTTCATTGCCAGCTCTGCAAAGTTAAAGTACCAAATAATAGAGGGAATCGCCTTGTTGTTTACAAATACTTTCGGGTAGAAAACCAGCAGAGTTTAGCTATATATATGTATATCTCACATTTTTCACGTCACTATATCACCATTTAGACTAATCTGATGTTTGTAAAGTCTATGAACACAATGATTGAACAAACGTTACTATTTCT